GAGACGTCCGTCTCAAAGTCGTGAAAGGTCTCGTCATGAGATTTTTGGGTTAAGGTCGTTACAAAGAGTCACGGGTGACCTTCCAAAGTCCTACTCGTCAAGAGGATATCTCTCGATAAGTATTCCTTTTTCGGAAGTTCACCGACTCTAGGCGAAGTCGTCACATAAACTCGCAGGGATGATGTACTCCCTAAGCTAATAGATGAAACTTCTTGCTAAGGTTATTTGAGAATGTTTTTTGAAATAAAAACCTGCCACGTAGTATATATGATCATAAGAAAAAATTGACAATAAATAAATAAACGCAATAAAATAGATAAATGCGAATAAATAAATAAATCAAATAAAAATAAGAAACCCCAAGAATACCTAAACCTATGGTTAAGGAGAAGTCCCCAGCAGAGTCGACAACTGTTGCGACTGATTTTTAAATCAGAGCCGCCACTATTAGTTTTTATCATAGGGAAGGGAATCTAACAGAAAACCCTAATTTGCAGACAAAGATTATAGGTTTCGAACTTCATTAGACGAAAGAAAGGTGTTAGACACCTTTCATCTACCTTGTTCACAAGGATATTAGGTTTTAGGTTTAAGTTCGGGTAAAACAGGATTTAAATTTATTATTAATGGAAAAGAGTTTTAATTTTTAATATGGGAAGGGTTTGTTTTTTTTATAGGAGAAAGGGTTTAAATTTTTTATAGGGGAACTCGCTACGATTTTTGATCGTATGCCTACGTATTCTCTTATGAGGAATCAGAGTCCCAATTCGTAGTTCGTATGGGGTTAGTGTTTTTTAGGGGTTGCAAATGTATTTTGAATCGCTTCGCATTTGACTGGGAGTAGTGATTGCGAAGATTTTGGCTAAATGTGCGATTAGTCAAAATCCGTTTGGAACCCTTTCGCAAAAAAGAATGTTGTTTAGCTTAATTTGTTGCGAAAAATAGGTTTGAGATTTGTTAATATTTTTTAATCATATAAATTGCAAAAATCTTAATTAATGCATGACTAAAAATATTTTAATACAACGTAGAAAATATGTTCATGACTTTTTAAATAAAAATAATTTATTTACATGATAAATAAATAATAAAATATGATAATAATAAAAAAATATTAATAATAATAATTATTATAAATGATAATAGTAATAATAATAATAGAATAAAAAATGTAATATATAAAATAGATAAAAAAATAATAATAATAAAAAACTAATAATTGAATTAAATCAGGGGGTGTAGTTTTAGTTATGACAGTAAAACTAAGGGGTGTTTAGATTAAGTAGAGTTTTAATTAAAAAGTTTGATTTTGAATAATAAACCGGTAGACGATATGTCGACCCATTTAATTATTGGAAGATGAATTTTCTATTAATTATAAAATGTTTGAAATTAATTAGATTTAAAAAGATATTTGAAATTATGTACCAAGTCGATTATTAGTCTAAATACTAAGACATATTTTTGGTATATATATATATATATATATATATATATATATATATATATATATATATATATATATATATATATATATATATATATATATATATATATATATATATATTTCATTTGAAAAAAAGTTTGATAGATATAGAAAATATGGTTAATATTTAACTACCCTGAATAGAAACATGTTTTATGTTTTTTTATGAAAAAAAGAAAGTAATTTCTATAAAAAATAGCTTAAAAAATCATTAATTTAATTCTAAATTAATCTACTTACTATTTCTAAAATATATCCCAAAATCCCTTAATTAATGACTAAAAATTCGAGAATAAAGAATTTATAAAAAAGAAAATATTTACTTGTTATATTTAATTATTAGCTTAATAAGGCTAAAAAAAATTGTATTTTTTTATTTTATTTATTAACATTAATTCCAACCAAAATTAGATATGTGGCCTGATTTAATTAAGATTTAAAAATAAAATACACAAATTAATATACAAATATAATAATGGTGAAAAACAAGTTATTTTTTGTGTAGTTTTCTTTATAATATTATGTTAATAATTGTTAATGATAACAACTACATATGATTAATAAAACTAAATATATTATTAAAAAAAAAATTTAAAATAAGAATTATGTACAAAATAATCATAGATAAAGAACAAATTGAATTTTGGATTCAGACATCAACCAAAGAAATACATCGAGCAATTAACCCAACAACAAGCAATCATGTACAAGTTTAAATAAGATGGTAAAAGAAAAACCAATCTGAAGTGCCGTGACCAACTTAAACTGCTTCCTCCAATCTCCTTTCTTCTTTCCTTTAGTGCAGAGACTTTTTTCAGGTTGATGGAGGCTTCATGTTTCTTTGTTGTTGTTCTTCGATGTGAAGAACAACAACTTTAGGAGAACTCTAGTGAATTGTGGATTTGCTAATTATTGGTGAAATTGTTGATGATTCTGGATCGCAAAAATGTATACAATCTGAAAATTGGCTTCCGAAAAAAGTTAGTAAATAATATAATTTTGAAAATAAAAACCATCAATAATCATCATGTGGTAAAAAAAGAACAGAAAAGCTAAAATCGAAAATAAAATTGGAGGGCCTCATATGAAATCATCGGTCCAAAAAAGTCGTTGTTTGTAAATGTGTAGAAAATTGTGAAAGAGGAAAAAGTGTATTGTTCTTAGGCTTTTGTCTGATAAACCAAAAAGAATTGTAAAATCAAGTTAGCAAGTTTGGATAGTGTTGGAAATTATCGATACGGTGGAAATTATGAATATTTCTGGATGAATTCTGCCTCTCCAATTAGGACAATAATGAGTACTATTTATAGAGTAAATTTAGGTTAAAACTTGGAGAGAAAGCTGACCCAAAGTGAATAAAAGGCCCAAATTAAATTTTGTCTATTTATAACTCATTTTGACTTTTTTTTTAAAAACAAAATAAATATTTTAATAAAAAATAATATTTTCAAAATATAATAAATAAATAAATACGAAAATAATAATTTAATAATAAAAATATAATTTTTGTGGTTTAAAAAATGAAAAAAATGAAGTTAGTAACAGTAAAAATATCCAAAGTGCACCGGATGAGATTCAAACCTGTGACCTTCTATTTATTAGTATTTCTCCCTTACCAATTGTGCTATGCTACTTATTTAAAAGTAAAATGCTAATTGAAAATATATGACAACGAACAATTATTTTCTGTTTTTTACAAATAATACAAATAACTATTATATTTACAAACAAAACTTGAAAGCAAAATTTTTATATTAAAAACTCAGAATGTCAGTATAATTAAATCAAAGAGATTTTATATCTGTAACACCCAAATTCGAAAATAAGTGTGACGGTAGCAATAAGGCGGGCAAATTTAATTTCAACCTCCCTTTTACCAACAACCATTTAACAATTTAGAATTTTACAGTTACTCCATTAATTTCTATTTACGAATCGCATGGGCCAATGGCCAACATGTCTCGCGAATAGATTCACGGATACGCGAGTCTTTCTGATTTAGAAAGTCCTATTTTCCTGAATTAAAAATACATCCCTGATGGACTTAAATATTAAGAATGAGCCATCAGATATTGTTGTACCACCCTTCGTTAAACGCTTCTTTATTATTCTAATCTTAAAAGATAGAATAATCGGGGGTAAGACAAATTTGGGTTACGACACCTCTTGTTCACCTTAATTTACTGTTTATTCTATTAATATAATTCTAAATAATATAAACTAAATTATTTAATTTAAATACTCCTAATTAACACCTTAATCTACACTATCCCACCACATACTACATATACTTCACATAATTAATCATAAATCACATACAAGCAAACAAATTATTAAATTCTAAAATCTGGGGTGTTACATGCCACATATCAATTCCATGCCAAACTGTATTTTGACAACTTCACCCACATATTTGACAACTGCTCATAGAAAACTGCCCTTTTTAACTGTTTGTCTCTTCGATGACACCTTTAACACTTTTAGTACAAAATTTGACTAAGTGTTCATAAAGTCTTTATGGTGCTTCATACTAGTCATCCTATATACATCTTACATTAACCATCTTCGACTTCTCACTATTCAATTTCATTCGTCTATCTCGCTCTCCCATTTCGACGAACACCCTCTTAAAGTCTTAGTTGAAAATTCTCAACTTACAGACAAAATAACCTATCACATATATTTAGAACAAGATGTCACTTATATTTATAATCTCTCTAACACGGATAAATTGGATCTAGTAACGGAGACGATAATCCACATGTTTCGAGGTGCCTATTTAGTGACTATAGCAAATGCTGGTCATGAAGAAACACTTGCTCTAAATAACCCTTAAAAGGAGAAGGAATTATGGAAGGACAAGTAAGATGTTAATGCCTATGAACATACTCAACTTTAATAGAAAGTGTAAGAGCCTCAAATGAACATAAAAAAACTGTTTGTTCTTTAAAAGGATGTGGATAAATCGGATAGTCTTCAAAAAGAAGTGAATAATCAAAGAGGCGAATTCTTTGAATAATAAATAATGAATTTACATGTCTCTAATACATCTATTAAAAAACCCCAATATAAATTTATTGCTTGTCTTTTAATACATAAATACCACCAAACATGAACCTAACTAATTCAGAGTAGTCAGACTTCACACAATACAACCCACATGTTTTATCTTTTACGAAAAACAAGATATAAAACATGATCAAGGAACAAGGTAGAAACACATAAGAAAGACTTAACAATGATGTTAAATTTATAAAATTTAGTGTCTAAAGTCCATAAAACTTTGTAATAAGCCCAATATAAATGAGTATATTTATTCGATAACATAAATTGAAATCACCAATAACATAGGCGGCTCGTGGGAATGTTGAAACGTAACACCATTCCATAGGTTGTTTTCTTGTGCTTCAAGAGTTTCTAGACACACACGCACCCACGTTACTTTCACAACTTCCCATCACACACACTAAAACAGAACCAAACATCACATTTTCTTCTTATATAAACCCACATAATGCGGAAATCCGCTGCAGACAGATTCAGGCATCTTTTCAACCGTTCACTCGTTGCTTCCCAACATCGTCATCGTCCAATTAATCCTATCCTCTTTCGATCGTTGTCTTCCATGGCTTCTCATTCTTCGCCTTTCCCTGTTACCGCTCAAAATATCAACCCACAGGTTTATGTTTTCTTCGATTTTCGATTTTTATTTCTGTTTTGTGATGTTTTGTTTATTTCGGTTTTTGATCGTGTTTTTTTTTTATGCTTCTGTGGTTTTAGGTTTGTTTTTTTTCTTTCTTTGTGTCTCTGCATGGAAATGGATTTTTGTTGTGTGGTGATGTTTTTGATAAGGGTTATCTTTTGATTGGATTTTTCGGGTTTATAAGGGTTGTTTGGTATTATAATGATCTGAGATTTGACTCTGATTTTTCTTTGGTTGTGTGACTGAGGACTGATTAATAGCTGATTTTTGTAGTGTTACGCTTGATTCAGTGCTTTTTGCTTTGTGCTTTTTGTTATACCAACGAGAAAATTTTCTTAGTTTGTGGAAATGTTTTTGGATGGGAATAGTTGCTTCACTTTACTGACATCAATATTATTTAATCTTCGGTTGCTTACTTGTTTGGAACATTGCTATTTTTTCTTTCTGTTTAGGTTCTGAAATGTCAGTATGCTGTTCGAGGAGAGATTGTTACACTTGCTCAGGTACTGTGATTCATCTGTATATTGTGTTAGTGAAATCAGGTTTCACTGAAGAGTTGTTTCTGTCTTGACAGAAATTTTTATATATTTCATTTGACAAATTAACTAAGAACACTTGCCACAGTGCTCTTCTAGTACTATATAGCTTGAAAATTGAAATTGTTTTTGCTGTTTAAAGTTTGGAATATTTATATAACTAACAATGCCTTAATGCTGCAGAATTTGCAAAAAGATTTGCTGGCCAATCCAAGCGCTCATTCTTTTGAAGAGGTAGTTCTCTTTTTCAACTTTATAGGTAACTTGGTTGTTGTTTTGTTTTTCTCCTCTCACTTTTCTTTTATCTTAAAATAGATAATTTACTGCAACATTGGAAATCCTCAGTCTCTTGGCCAGCAGCCAATAACTTTTTTCCGAGAGGTTTGTTTTTGATAATTCTGTCTGGTGAATGCAGCTAATTTGATATGAATTGAGTACTGAACATTTTACGATCTCATCTCTGCCAGGTTCTTGCATTATGTGACTATCCAGCTCTTTTGGACAAAAGTGAAACTCAGGGTTTGTTCAGGTATTAGGATAAATAAAACATAGTTGAACAGTAATCTTAGCGGTTTTGTGCATGGAAAATATGTTAGTGATTGAATAGAATAGTCTATCCACAACATCAAAATTGAATTTGAATATGTCAATGAATATCTGCTTTCTAATCCATTTTTACAATGTTGTAGTCTATGTCTATCCTCTGAAGAAAAGTAAACTTGCTTTTATTACTGATGATTTGAAGTTGTAGGTTATGATTACTGTCTAAGTAATGGAATTTGAACGAATCACTATTTTTCCACGATACTCTCACTCTTGTTAGTGCATAGTGTTGTCAAATAGTGGCTAGCGGAATTTGAACAAACCGCCATTTTCATGTGAAGTTGATCTTTGGCATATTGCAGTGCTGATTCAATAGAGCGAGCTTGGCAGATTGTGGATCAGATTCCTGGGAGAGCAACGGGTGCCTATAGTCATAGTCAGGTATTGATGGGGTTATCTAATTTGGTTTATTTAATTATTATCCTTTCACTGTACACTGGATGGGCCTTGAAATTGTTCTTATTTCCACATCAGGGTATTCAGGGTTTGCGTGATACAATCGCTGCTGGAATTGGAGAGCGTGATGGTTTTCCTGCTAATCCCGATGACATTTTCTTGACAGACGGTGCAAGCCCAGCAGTATGTATTCTACTATGCTTTTGGTAATTGTCTGCTTTTTGTTTTGTTGAGATTCTAAAGGGGTTTAAAATCCCAAAAGGTGAACTACAAAAGTTCAAACAAGCATTAGAAACTCCAAGCAAATCAGCAAGAACTAAATCCGAATCTGAGGGGTCTGATCAAAGAGCTTGAACCACCCTCCAAATTACAACCCAGATTTGCAAAACCAATGGCAACTATATTATCCAAATTCAACCCAATCAAAGTCTTAATCCTCCAAATTAAGCTCCAAGTCTGCGCATTACCTGTTAAACACCAGACTACAATCTTAGAATCCATTTGATGATGCATGGTTGAAGACTGATTATTGTGAAAACCTTTTTGGCTTTAAATGTTGACAGTGTAAAGTTATTTTCATTTGAATTCAGTGCATGGTTTAAAGACTGATTTTGTATTTTCAGGTCCATATGATGATGCAACTACTCACTAGATCAGATAATGATGGTATTTTGTGTCCCATCCCTCAGTACCCTCTCTACTCAGCCTCAATTACCCTCCATGGTGGCCACCTGGTAACATTTTCTCTATACAATCACATAATTTATAATTTAATATAGATCACTATTTAGGTACAGTTCAGATCATGTATTTCTCAGTGTTGTTAAATGGCGGCCATAGCGGCACTACAGTGCCTAAAACATAGCAGAATTTAGCTCAAAGTGTTGTTAAGTTGCAGCGATATAGTTCTGCGATTTAGCACAAAGTGTAGTCAAATTGCTAATGAAGCGTAGCAGAATTTGAACAAACTGCTATGGTTTATGTATATATGTTGACAACATTGGAAATTAGTAGGCTACAAAACAACTTTAAGAATACATATCAGAATAAATGGTTTATGGTCTATATATATGTTGACAACTTGACAAATATCTTTGTATGATTGCCAAGCATTCAATTGTTACTTTGAAAATTTGAATTTGAATTATGCTCTTATATTACTTGGATTGGATGGAATATCATGTTGATATTGTTTCTACAGGTACCTTATTATCTAGATGAAGCAACTGGTTGGGGGCTGGAAATATCCGAACTCAAGAAGCAGTTGGAAGATGCCAGGTCCAAGGGCATCAGTGTTAGGGCTTTAGTTGTTATAAATCCCGGCAATCCAACTGGACAGGTGAGCTGCAAATTACTATGTAGTGTTAATATAGGATGATGCATATTGATACGAGTATGAAGCTAAGTTATCATATTTGATAATATGAAATTTCTATCATGTCTCAGGTTCTTGCTGAGGAAAACCAAAGGGATATAGTAGAATTTTGCAAGAAAGAAGGTTTGGTTCTTTTGGCTGATGAGGTAACTTAACTATTTTTTGGTTAGGAAACTAAGAAAGGTTGTTGAATAGTATCTGAACTTTTTCAGATGCCAAGATAAATATATTACTCACTTAGGGTTGTTAAATAACAGTGCTATAGCCTAGAGAAATTTGAAAAATCACTATTGTTCTATGATAAGCTATTTATTAGTACAAAATGTTGTGAAATAGCGGCAATTGCGGTACTATAGCACAACTGAGTAGCAAAATTTGAACAGACCACTGTTTTCTGCATTAGCTATTGACAACACCGATCTCATCTATTTATGTATATGTAGATCTGGAACAGCTGTTTTTTGTTGAACTATGTGGCACAATACCATACTTATTCTGTTTATGAAATTCATTGTGTAGGTATATCAAGAAAACATTTATGCTCCTGAGAAGAAATTTCACTCTTTCAAGAAGGTATCTCGATCCATGGGATACGGCGACGATGATATCATCTTAGTATCTTTTCAATCCGTCTCCAAAGGTAAGTTGGTATAACATTCAACTTATATATATAAAGAGAATATACTTTTATGCTAGTAGGTGATCCATACTGATTGAAAATTGTCTTTCTGGTTGGCTTCAGGCTATCACGGGGAGTGTGGAAAACGTGGAGGTTATATGGAGGTGACTGGGTTTTCTCCAGATGTGAGGGAACAGGTTTATAAAGTGGCATCTGTGAATCTTTGTGCTAACATCACTGGTCAAATTCTTGCAAGTTTGATCATGAGTCCACCTAAGGTTTACCCTTCTCCTCTTAAAGACAAATTTCTTTTTGATGATAATCATTTTGTGTATAGAAAGAATATTAAATATCACACTTACCTCAATTGGTACACTTACGGGTGCTCCTAGGAACTTATTAATAAGTTAGCTAAGTTGGTTCTTAGAAATAAAAAGGCATGCCATTAGTGGCAGCCTCCTTTGAGGATATGCATTACTAGTTTGATATTGAGTTCCACGTGTAACATTCAGTGAATTCAATGAATGTGTATGCAGGTTGGAGACGAGTCCTATGAGTCATTCATGGCCGAGAAGGGTGGTATTTTATCTTCTCTTGCTAAGCGTGCAAAGGTTAGTTATATGGCGATATTTTTTGAAGGGAATAATTTCCTATACACTATTATGCTTAAACCATAAATAGTTAAAACATTTGCAAATTTTACCATGTCATCCCAACAGAGCAACAATTTAAGGCATTAATGAGTTTCCTGACGCATTTTTCTACATAGGCACTAGAAGACGCTTTGAACAATTTGGAAGGTGTAACCTGCAACAAAGCAGAAGGGGCAATGTACCTGTTTCCTCGTATTCGCCTGCCCGAAAAGGCTATCAAAGCTGCAGAGGCTGAAAAATCAGCACCTGATGCGTTTTATTGCAAACGCTTACTTAACGCCACAGGAATCGTTGTTGTTCCTGGTTCTGGTTTTGGACAGGTTAGTTTATTTACATTTCAAATCCACTATCCTTAATCTTACATATGATCTATATATAATACTCTATTAAGTTGCATTTTGTATTCTTGAGTTGATTATAAACTAACTGTGTAAGAAATGTTTGTTTTTTGTGGTGAAGGTACCCGGCACATGGCATTTTAGGTGCACCATATTGCCTCAAGAAGATAGGATTCCAGCCATTGTCACCCGTTTGACTGAGTTCCATGAAAAGTTCATGGATGAGTTTCGTGATTGAGTAGTAGTTCTCACATGAGTTTTCCCCCTAAGGGGTGCCCAATTGATATTTAGATACGATGATTTTCGAGTTTTAAGAAACTAGCTCTCTTAATTATGTTTCGTGATGAATAAATTTTGTAATAATTCAACATTAGCTGCATCTTGAATATGCAAGACTTGAAATAATATTTCTCCTACCTTCTTTTCCGTCCTTAAATTAAGTCCTATAGTATTAAATGTGAATGGTGAATAATCAACATTGAAGTTACCATGTGACCTGTTATTTGGTCCTGCATTATTTGTAACACATGCCAATGACAGAGATTTTGAGAATGCATTTATTGAGCCTTTGACTGGGAATTCAATCTTTCTCAATGTAGCTAGCATGCACTATTCTCTTGTGTCTAACCTCCTTATCAATTTTATCAATTTTTTTAGTTCTCCATCGCTCCTAAATTATAACGTCCGAAAGTTATTTTTCAATTGTTTATATTTCAATTTATTAGTTGTTTTATAATTTCAATAATATAATATAACTGGTATTTTTCTTAATATTCTCTCTATTGTTTATTATTCTCTTCTTTCAAATTATTTTAAATATTGTAAGAAAATGGGCTGATTCGGATGTATGTGAAATGTGGTAGCTTGAAGGATGCACGAAGAGTGTTTGATAAAATGATTGAGAGAAATATCAATTCTTGGAATTTGATGATTAATGGATACACTGGGAATGGCTTAGGGAATGATGCTTTGTTGGTTTTGAAGAGGATGAAGCAACAATGGTTAGTGCAGTTTGAATCCATGAAGAAGTTCAAAGCATGGGGCACTATATGGTATTGTTAATGTTTTCGGGGTGTTTAGAGCATGGTCAAGTCACGAAAAAGTTGCAATCCAGATATAAAGCTTTGAGATATGGAGGACATGGAGAACGCAATTGAGAAGATGGAGAAGTTGGTCTCAAATTTAGGGTTTCAAGCAGGGGAAGATGCAGAATGTATTTTATTTAATTAAATATTGGTTTAAATGAGATATAATAATTAATTTCAATCATTTCATAGATTCAAAATAATAATATATAATGATATAAAAAAAAATAAAAATAGAGTAGGTGACACTTACAGAACTTGTTAAAATGTTGTTTTTGTCTTGGGGATAAAAAAAAACAACGAATATAAATAATGGTGCTACAATAAAGTTTTATGATAAAATTTTTGAATCACTTAAAGAAAAATCGAGGTATAATATTAAGCCGCGTCTTTTTTATTTATTTATAAAAATAAAAAATTAATTATTTCTTCAGTTTTTAAAATAATCGTGGAAAAAAATAAATCAAGACACGCTTCGAATTTCATACATTGTAGTTTGTTTTTTTTTTTTTAAAGTGTAAACTAAATGATCAAACCCTTTGGTTTTAGATAAAACCGAGGGATAAAAAAATCAGACTTTACTATAAAAGTGTTTCTTAAACATGTTTTACTTTAATCCTTACTAATATGAAATCCCTCCAAACTCGCATCCATCATTATTTAGGATGGATTGCAAGACAAAAAAATCTTTGATGTTCTTCTATCGAGAATAAAATATTTTTTTCCCTTGCAATCTATCTCACATAATGGTGTTTATGTTGTTGTTGTATTTTTTCTCATTTGATAGATTGTAAATGCAGAAAATATTTCTTGCTTGAAGTTACACAAAGAAGGGAGTTTAACCTTTGAAAAGTTAAACAAAGAAGAGAGTTTAACTTTTCAGAAGATGAATATCAACGAAAAATAAAGATTCTCATAGGGAAACAGATCTCTAGCATTTTGCATAGGACCTGAACAATCTTGAAGAGAACTAAATCTTGATATCAGTGAAGATTTATTCCATACAATATTTTTTAATAATCTAGATAACCTTTGTACTTTGTAAATAAATTAATGTATTAATATTCTGGGTAAATGTAACGATTTTCATAAAAAAGAATTTAATCTTACCCCTTGGGTTTCTTTTAAAACCGAGAGGGAAAAGAAGCTAATGTTTTAATAAAAAAGTATCTTATTCACCTTGGTTTTTGTCGTAACCGAGGGAATAGTTAAGAGTTTAATTTTACTATATTCATCGGTCTTAAACAAAATTTTGTCATCTATTTAATGATTATCATTGCTCAAAACTCTCTCATTAGTGATCAGCGTGAAATCTAAGAGACATCAATTATAAAAGTATGCTGAATATTGAAAATCATCCTATATGAAACATGATGCACTTGAAATCTAAAGACCTTATTTTTTTGTGAGCAGAAAATTCTCTATGATGGATTGCAAGAAAAGAAAATTATTTGAGTTAAGATTTATTTTCTGAAAATATTTTTTTGAGCAGAAAATCATTTCTTCATCTAACCCTTATTTATCTAGCTTTTTTTTTTGTTTTATATCGGAGACAAATGCAAACTAAAGTAATTGATAATATATTGCACCCAAGATTTTATCTCCCCTAAACTTCAATTATTCGAAGATCTAAAATCTAAATCTTTATGGAGATTGATTTTTAATGTAATAATCTCTATAAACAATGTAATTTTTTTCCAACTTCTTGTGTCTTATTTGTAAGCTGGTTTGTTTTGTGATTTTGCTGTTGTTAGATCTAGTTTGTGAATCACTTTAAAACTCTCTTGTACCCTTATTTGATTATAGTGGAAATTCTTGTCACAATGTAATTTATAAACAAATAACTGTATTAATATTCTGGGTATAAAATGTAACTTTTTATATAAACAAAGAAATGATCTTACCCCCAATTTTATTTGTAAACTGAGAGATAAGATAAGTTAATTTTGAAAATAATAAAAATGAAGTTGTTGGGATTCAAACTCATGTGCGTATAACTTGACCTCTCGGTTATTATTCCACTGAGATGATAAGTGGAGACTTATTATAACGTCATTCGTTATCTCACTTCTTTAGCCGAGGTAAATTGCATTTTGCGTCCGACATTTAAAGTGCTTTTTGTAGTAGTATGGGGACTAAAAAGCTGATTTTTTTAAAGAGGGTGCAAAAAGTTAAGAATATTAAAAAAGGGGACTAAAAGTGAATTTAAGCCTAAAAATAATAAGGAATGGATAGAGAATAAATGTTAAATTTGGGAATTTTTTTGACGTAAAAGAACCATGTATTTATAATGCAATACACACCATTTCACATACGAGAAAAGTAAATTTGGATGTTGTACCGGTACAAGTGAAAAGGCCTTCCAGGAGGGGGCGTTAGACTCTCTCAGGATAGACAATGCAGTAAGTCTCTCCTGCAAGAGAATGTCTAGCCGCTCATTTATTGAAATTGACGCTTATTTCTTGATTATGTCATTTGTTTCTAGATTACTCGCCCATTCGTGAGAATCTGAAAGTAACGTGACATAGGTTGCAAAAGTAAGGTAGGGGAGTCAAAAGAGGAGGATCATATTCTCCTTAATAATAAGGAATTTGACTATCCACTTCCTACGTTCTTGAAATCAATTATCACTCTCTTGAAGTCTAAGTTTCAAGCTAGGGATTTCTTATAAATACCTCTGAAATTCTGGCACAACAGACTCAGATGTCCTATAAGATAAAACAATACTGAAAAGATAAAGAACACACCAGAATTGTTTACCCAGTTCAGTGTACAACAACACCTACTCCAGGGGCTACCAAGCTAGGAATGAAGTCCACTATCAGCAGTATCAATTTGTAGACCCTACAACCAACACACCCATTGACGATCTACGCACTTAATCACTACCCAATGACCCTTCTACCTAGGTCCTCCCTAGATATGGAATATCCACATCCCACTTCCAATCATCACAATGATGTCTAATAGTCAACACCTCAGTCACTGCATAGACGATCCTTCACAAAGATTTTGATCACACAGATAAGTAGTTTGGAAAACATACTTCCATGACAATCTAGCTAAATCTCTAAGCCCAACTCCATTATTTGTTAGCTTTTCTCCTAACACATCCTGGTGTTTCTTTAAAGCTTCCTCCAGGAACAATGTATCTCTTACCTACAGGTTTCAAGATGAACATGGTAACCTTCCCACAACCGGGAGGTTTACCTTGACAAAACCCTTAGAATTCTACATCTTTAGCCGTGTCTTTTCTAGGTTACAAATCCTTCTATTTATAATCTGTTACCCAACTGATTTTGGGCCTTCAATCCAGCAAATTAGCTGTAACAAACTGCAGAAACTTTTTCCCCAAGAGAGATCTTCAATCTTTACTTTCCTAAATAATCTCCTTATTTAGAAAGTCTTCATTCTCCTTGATTTCTGATTGAATTTTCTAGACCTTTAAATATGTGCCACATAGGATGCATAATATTCTCTTGGATATTCTGCTTATATTAAGAACAAACTGAATCTCATTAATCCAGCTCAGCAGACGCGATGTCAAGACATCTTCTTTGACACGTTGTTCCAGTTGTTGAAAAAGTTCAACGCAACATGTTCTGACATTGTAATAGGACTTCTTGTTGTACCTGTTCTTATTATCCTATTCTACATTACATTATTTCTTCTATTATTTGTTTTACAAAAATTAAGTTAATCCTAAAACAAGAGAACTGGCAATCTCCTCATTTGGCAATTTTGGCTAAAACAAATAATCTAAAAACAATTGCAATCTAGGAGATTTCAGCAATACATAAATATAACCCTCAACAGTAGTGTTTAGAAGCTATTGCGCACAATAATAGATATGCAATTGAAAATAATGTCTCAATATCTTGTTTGACATTTTCTTTGCAGCACTCTGAAGAAATCAATTGCATCAGTACCAACGAACATCAGCTTCAGGATAAAAGGAAGGAAAGTCCTGAAGTTTGGTTGATGCACATGAGGAAGAAGATAGCAGAAGACAACTTGCACTCGCCCTCAATGCAGGAACATCTTCTAAACATAGAAGACCAATGGTGGAATAAGATAACTCTCAATAACTCCTTAAGACCAAATCAACCACTGCCCCTGATAACTCAGAACACAGGTCACAACTGTGTTCATAACTCAGATCACAAGTCACAAATATATGTCACATAAATAATAACCACTTGACATCTTATTTTGACATATGTAAACATTAATAATAACCACTTGTGGAAGCAGCAGCAGCATCTGAGCTGAGCTAATTCACCTAATTCACCTTTCTCCCCCTTTATAGCCAAAACTTGGCAAATGAGACCTTCATAATACCAGACCCAAGCACAGCTTACCCAAACTCTAATAAAAGCCATAGGAATTATGGACTCAAGAAGCTCACGGGGTTACAGAGATGTGGAGAACTCTCTATAAATAACTGAGATTTTTACTTGGAAAATAACGATCCTAGATTGTAGCACCAATCTTGGTAAAAAAGAAACGATATTTGAGGAG